ATCATCACCAGCTCAGCGGCAGCCGTGCTGCTGCTACTGCTGTGCCTGGCTGCGCACTTACTTTCTCGGCTTTCTATCCTAGCAGAAGGCAACGGCCTCTTTAAATTGGCCCCGACCCCTCACACGACGTGTGTATTTGGCCGCCCTTGGCTTACAGCGCTGTGTACGTCTCACTTGTGTCTGTTTCTGGGGTGCGTCTGTTGTGGCAGCAAAGATCGTGTAGCAGACGAAGAGACCGCAGGCAGAGATCTGACTTGCGTACACTCGCATGTTCCCTCGCTTGCGCTGCTAGCAGTAGCCATCGGGGTCTAAAAATGTCTTCCGTCCAGCCATTATGTGTGTCTTTGGCCGGCCTTGGCCTACAGCAGTGTGTAGGCGTCGTAATTTATCTTGCGGGGAGGCGTCTGTGCGGGAAGCTCCACAGACGGGTAAGTTCAGGGTGATGCAGACGGACCGCGGATTGACTTGCGTCGTCACTCGGATGTGCTACCGCAGACAAGGGGCTGCAAGAGTCGTACCCAACGCCTCCCATGATGTGTGCCTTTGGCTGCCCTTGGCCTACAGCAGTCCGTATACTGCTGTGCCGGTTGTCTCGTATGTTATCTACGTGATGTGTGTTGTGCTGCTGTGCGAGAGGATTTCGGTGATTCTGTCGGTCGTCCCCTTCGCCCAATCACAAATTACAAATTACAAAATGGCTTGCAAACTCGACGGGTGATTGGTGGGAGACGGGTGTCTACCCGGCTCTACCCCTCAAGAACATAGATAATTGTTGGAAGTTCTTCCGTGTCTTTTAAATAATTTGCCCTTTGTGTGGGTGCCAGAACCCAAAATAACCGCAACTAATGACGTCTAGTACCCCGGCGACGCGGTTACGGAGCAGTGTTGAATTGATCTAACTGCAGCTCGAAGTATACTGATCATTCAAACCGCCCCGTGCAAAAATGTTCGCGTTCGGGTCCGCTGGTCACCACAGGACATCAACGTTCCGGAAGCTGGTGCACGCGCTGTTCGGCACTACATACGTCTTCCGCGTCAACAATACCGGACCATACATTGACCCGTGCGATCGTGTGGCTGTGTTCCTTTTCCGCGTTGGACACGGCTCAGGCGTGAGGGCGACCGATGGCCGCTTCAACGTTGCAGAAGGGACTGTGGTCAACTGGACCATGAGTGTGGCGAGGCTAATCAGGAAGCGTTTATTTCGCGAGTATGTGAGGTGGCCAAGCCCGGGAGAGCAGAGCGAGATCTCGACGGCATGGGAAAAGGAGAAGTCACTGAGGTGAGGCATCAAAAGGGTGATCTACATCAGCCGCATGCATTAAACAAACGAGTACCTTCGCCTGTCATATGTATAGTATTGCCTCATTGCCATTCACCCCTAACGACAGCTAACGCTATCTGATAAAGTATTCGGCTTCCGATGTTCTAGGATATAGAATTTCAGGGTCGTCGCTAGCCCGTTGTTGCCACCGCTTTCCTAGAGTTGCTGGCCCAAAAGAGGCGTTTGTGTAACCCATGGTTTCCTCAATAGTTTCGGGTATACTAAAATAGTTGCGAACCGAAGAAAGTTCAAGGTAACACGGGGCTACATTGCACGGGGCGACCGTGAGGGGCCAGAGCCAGAAACGTCGCTCCTGTAAATTTGGGTCACCCGTAAGCCACACCCCATGTGGATAGGTGCGGATTAATAGTTCGCAATCGCTCGCGTCACGACGTAGTTTCGCTCTCACGCCGCCATCGGGCTGAATAGCCCCCCACGGCACAGGGTGGACCCCCTCGGTCTTGTCCACACGACGAACAGACTCGAGTACGGTGGCCCCCATGAGCATGCAAAGAGTCAGTTGTCTCCATATGGTTAAGAGCGGGTCCTGAAACATGAACTCTTACAATATGGCAAGCCGAAGTAAACCTACGGACCAAGTCCAACGATCTAACCAACGGGCTGAAGCGACGGACATGTG